CTGTCGCATCACCTTAAATTCCAGTACGCAAAAAGGCGTTCTCGAATACGCATCTAGAATTATTTATCACGACGCTGAACTCAAAATGCTATCCGGATAAATTCAAATGTGAACCAATGAAAGAACCTTAGTGAGTAGATGAGTATGTCGTGAATTCTGTTTATTCAACCCCCTAATCCGGTCGCTCCACCTCCTACACAGGGTTCCCTTTGTCGCAGCATGTCGCCAGCCGCTCGAATCCTCAACTCCCCCCATCATTAACCCAAATACTTACCTTGGAGTATCCCTACACCTAGGTCTCGATGTTAGCTCATGTATGACTCACACATCCGAGCCGTAAATACACACGCGCAAACCCGACACAGGACACAACGACACCAACGTGGTTGACCTCTGAAGTAGACGCTTGTGTCCGTCTTCTCCGGCCTTTTCCTTCATCGCGGGTATCAGGCAGGCGTAATCGGGCCAGGGTTAATTCCGTAGCCCCGGAGTGGTTCAGCCCACAAGTACTACTGATTATTGAAGTCACTAGTGGCTTTGTACTGCGCTTTCTAATATTTGGTCCTTAGGTTGAAAATCAACAAAGCCAGTACGAATTAGCACTCACCGGTAAAGTACGTGGGTACATTGAAGAGGTCGAGTTTGAGCTGGGGGTCTGCATGCGGCAGATCGGTTGCGGTAGACGTAGGTGGTGGCTGTGGCGGAGGCGCGAACCAGCTCGCAGCATCTTCAAGGAGATTGGCAGCCATCAGACAGTGATCCTCGTCGATGTAGTCGCCGTCACCATCGCTGGACTGTGTGGAAGTGGGGGAGTACCAGCCGGGTTCTCGGCTCTCCGTGGTGTCAATCACCTTGAGCCACTGACTATTGTACCACTTGAAGCGCTGCATCTGCACCATCCTTGCCCAGGTCTCATCGTGTTCCTGCGAAATACACACATACACATCGATTTTCGAAATAGAAATTCGATTCGCCAACTCGTCTGAGTTCTGTAGAGCGTGTTCCAAACCTTTTGCACTGACTCTTACTTAGATGGCCATATTGCATTCAACCGTCTTCATTTACGTTAGGACTGTTGTGGTGTGGTCTTGAACCAGGCCTAGGCCACTGAATTAACCCTGGCCCGATTGCGTATCTCTGATACTCGCGATGAAGAAAGAGACCGGAGAGGACGGGACACAACCGTTTACTTCAGACCTTAACCCCGTTGGTGCTGTTGTGTCGTTTGCGCGCGTGTATTTATACCTCAGATGTGTGAGTCATAGATGAGCTAACATCGAGACCTAGGTGTGAGGATAGTTCAAGATAAATAATCGTGCTAATGAAGGGGGAGTTGAGGATCCGCGCGGCTGGCGACATTCTGTGTAAGGGGGGATCCTGTGTAGGAGGATGGAGCGACCGGATTAAGGGGTATGAATAAACACGATCCAGAACAAGCTTAAACTTTTGATTCAGACTGTATGGCCCTCCGCACAAGCTCCAGTCATGCTCTTGGAAACCTTCGACGTGACAAACAAAGGGTTCCACCTATTACGGTCTGAGATTTGCATTCATATACCGGTGCAAGGTAACACTCAACAGTAAACATTGCCAAAAAGGCTGAAATGAATGCTTTAAATTTTGTAAGCGAACATGGAAGTGATTAGTACTCTTTTCAAACCGAAATTCCATTGCTTAGAAAAACTGGCTACATTATGTGATTAGTCTTCCCACACACCTATTTACCATTTGCTGTCGTGATATGCATTATTGGTTCATTTGCTTGCTCGCCACGGTGTATAAAATGATGTGCATGACTGGTGAGGGTTGTTGGCAGAATGAGTGGCGGTGGTTTGCGAAAGGACGGAGCCGGTACTAACCCTGGCCCGATTGCGTCCCCCGATACTCGAGATGAAGAAAAAGGCCGGAGAGGACGGGACACAACTGATTACCTCAGACCTCAACCACGTTGGTGTCGTTGTTTCGTTTGTGCGCGTGTATTTATACCTCAGATGTGTGAGTCAGAGATGAGCTAACAGCGAGAACCATGTGTGAGGATACTCCAAGGTCATCGTCCGCACTAATGAGGGGGAGTTGAGGATCCGCACAGCTGGTGACATGCTGAGAAAAGGGGGACCCTGTGTCGGAGGCTGGAGTGAGCGGATTAATAGGTTTCATTCAACGTGATTCACAACAAGACTCATAAAGTGGTTCTGTGAAAACCTGGGATTCAGGCAATGTCTACGGTTTTAGCCTTCACAAGACAAATTCAGCCAATCCGCTGGTCTTGCAATTGCTCTGTGACTGAGTCTACACGCACAGGCCTCATTAGGCAAGCTGAAGCTGCTTATCAGTAGGATTGCAAATTTGATTTTAGGAAACACGGAGCAATGTGAATTTGACTCACCGAGATGATATCCAGGACAACATCGCAAATTTTCCGAATGGCAGCAGTTTTATCGTGCATCAGATCCATGACGTAATTCGGGACCTCTAGTTTCAAAACAAAGTGCAAACGCAGCTCAATAAATTTGTTCATTTCAGTACGCCACAGCAAGCAATCAAGAAGTGTCTGCACCTGAACATACATGTTAACCCTTCTACTACCTACTGACACGAAAGTAGTAGAGGCGTTAACAGGAAACCTAGTATTGCAGTCAAAGAAGAGCAGTCGGAAATGAAAGCATTCACGGATTGGATGTAGTGTGGTTTGAGGGCGAACGTACGGCAGTTTACCTGAATGACTATTAGCTTAAAGTTAAACACACCGTAATGAAGCAAGTATCACTGAAGTCAAAATATGAGGACTAGTAGTAGTATATCCTATGCCCTTAGAGGCCAAATACGAATGATAGGAAAGTGCACATGACGAGCTTACGAGTTGAGGTAATGAGGTATTGCCTTGTTTCCTGGTGCAGAAGGAGGTGGTAGAATACGCGGAGGATTTGATAGACTATTTCATCGTCCTCTTGTCTGGCTGCAATCAAAGACAAATGTCATTGGAGCAGACCTCTGGACACCGACTGCATAGACAAATGAAATGGAACCCCCTATTACCTAGATTAGTTAGCAGATGTGTCGTGTACCTCCACGAACTAAGACGACTTGAGAAGCTGGAAAGTGGGGATAAACTTTGACAATCGAACGTGACGACCTGTCATGTGGTGTAGAGTCATTTGGAGTGTGTAATGAACCACTTACAATTTAGAAATGAAATGAGATTTAGCACCACCGTGCCTCCCTGTAGAGTCAACATTTTGGCTGCCTCCTCATCGCAGGATGCTGTTCCAACTAGCCTGATCGTCTCTAGAAGGATGTCGTCGTTGGGAGGCGTCCTGTCGACTTGTTCAAGGCCCCGCCGAATCCACGGTAGCAGCTTCAGGTCATCGAGAACGAGGTTGATATCTAAGTCTTCGAGTCGCAGGTTGGCTAGCAAGCCGAGGCACTCCACCGCAAAGGACCTCTCGTTGTCTTCGAAGTCGTCCTCGTCGTCGTCGCCCTCAGAATCGACGGCGTAGTCCAGCTCTAAATTAGCCGTGGACAATTGCTCCTGGGGTAGAAAGTGCTCCGCCAGAACTAAGCCACTTCCAGGCGTTGGTGTGACATCAAGAGTGACTATCGCGGTAGCCATGTTCGGTAAAAAGTCCTGCAAGAAATCATGCACTAAAGTGCGTTGACTAATAAAATATGTTCAATGTTTAAACCTCCTGTATTCGAATTTGTCAATACGTTGGCTTCAATTACTTCCAGTTGACATTCTTTTGTTAAATTAATTTTCTACTTCTGTAGAATACCCGAGCCCTAATAGGAGGAAGACCAGTACAACAGAACAGGCTTTATTGACCAATCACAAGCCAGAACCACACGCCAGGCGCCTTCCATCCGAGTCCACCACGCTGGCCACGCCGCTCATTATATACTGCACCTCAGTCGTGTCCTTCTCTGGTTGGCTGCTTATCTTCCTCACATGCCATTGGAACGCAGAGAGACACAGGATTGGCTGAGGCCAGGGGGTCCAATATGTCTGCGCCCTGATCCGTTGCCACACTTCAGTGAGACCACCAGTGAGGTAACGAAGTGGCGTTCAACCAATCAGAAGGACAACGAAAGGTTACACCATTGATTGGTTGGTTGGTGAAATTGAGAAGTGCTGCACTTAATTAAAACTCTTATTCACATTGGATGTATCATTTGAGTGTCACACAAACCAGCCCATCTGAATGGATGAAGGCACAAGTTGTTAAACTACAGAAAGATTATTTTAAACCTTGGAATGTGATTAGATTTAATTACTTATTGGACACCTGGAAAGGCATTGAAATGGGAGTCAAGAAGGTCTATAATTTTACACAATCTGATTGTCGGGCTCCCCATGAGGTGACGGCACATTCCAATTAGTCATTTGACACCCATTTCTAACTAATGCTTTTTAAAATGCTAATTCATAAATAGTAGTCGCATCGAAAGCAACCTACCACAAAGTTCGGTTTCAATTCGTCAAACTCGGAGAGGTTGCGGAGGAGCTTCATGAGAAGGGGATCGTGGTGAGAAAAGGCGCGTTTCAGCATCAATCGAATGCCCCGTGGTTCGCCGATCATTCGGGCAGCGGTGCGGTCGCATGCCAAGTTGATGACCAACGCCACGCACTCCGGCTCGGAGCAGCGCTCGGAACTGCACAGAATCACGCGCATCAACTGGAAAGCAGAGGTTGGGATTGATCGCCTATGCGCATTACCTTCCTTTAACAGCCTTCAGCACACGTCCCCTTACTTGACTGCGATCACTACTAATCGGACTTGGGTCCGCATTGAGTCAATGAGCAAACTGGTGTGGCTTAATCGCATCTGCCTAGCCCAATCTTGCTCGAACCCCGCACACCGCTAACACAAAAAATTGCGTCTCGGACACAATTACATGGCTAACGCCGGTACCTCATCATGCCACAGCGTCGATTGAGACTTGCCAAGATCGTCGATCTAATGTGCATTACACATCTGTCCGTCCTTCTCATTAAAACAACCATCTCAAGGTCATGTCCGATTAACAAGAATGATGGTGCTAGTTGACAGATCAGCGTAACAAAGTCCATGCAAAATAAGCGACCTCTGTACAGGTGTGATATCCGCAGTTGAGGTTTCTGCAACTGGAGCCGAAGTAATTATCTTGAACTTCGAATCCGAAAGTGACATGCTTTATTATTTGCCATCAGTAAGGCCTAAAACCTCAGCTTAATTTGAGTCAACGTAACATGAAATGATCTATTTTGATGAAGAGTCAAATGATGACGTAAATGAAAAACGGGTGATATTTCAGGCTGGCCTTGAAGTGTGTCTCTTCCTGCAAAGACAAGTAGATGGTATAGGCAAACCCTAAACACACAAGAGGTGTGGACGCGTTCACATCCAGGAAAAGATCCGTGATCAACACATGCTGACCCACGATTTTGCCGCTCGTCACACAGAAATCGTGATCTTAGACATCGAAATGTTTGTGATGCCGGACAGACCCAAAGCTCAACGTCGAACCAAGAAATTTTTAGATGTGACCCCCTTCCGCACCTGGTAGTTATTCAAAAACCATGGGAAAATACTGATAGCACCATCGAAACGTAAGTGTTGCTTACTGCAGGAAGACATCCAGACTCGGCAACCACAAGTTTGTACTTGTCCTCTGTGCTGAGTTGGTAGAGGATGCGAAGAACGACATTCTGGCAAGAAGGATCAACTAGGGGGAGTTAGTGGGTAGAAAATGAAATTGCTGTTTGACTAGCATAGTCCAAAACTGATTAATCTACTTAAATTAGTAGAAAGAACTCCTCCGTCAAAATGTTGAAAATGCAGATTCTCTCAAGTGCTCTTCTCGTAACCTTATGACTGGATATTGTTATAGTTAGTGGGCAACCTCAAGTGCCGACCAATCAACCCTTCAACTGGTTAAACCAATCACAACAGCGTCAGAGGTCAGAATAGTGCAAACTTAAAGGCTTGTTTTACTAATTGCAAATGGAGCATTAGGTATGGTGAAAACTCACCATCAGTTAAATTGTTTGGTACATCAACAGCGCTGGATTCGCCGCTAGTAAACGAATTGAATTGACACACACTCTACGATAAGGCAAAACTTAGTCCCAAAATTCATCTATCAAACGAAAAAATGCCAAGTGTGTTCCAGTAGATGTTTTTCTTAAGGCATAAAAGGTTCCTTTTGTGGACTTGTAAACATGAGTCCGTCAGGGGTTCTGCAAATCACTCATCAATTCTCAAAGTAGGTGCACAGGTTGAATTACCATCTTCGCCAATAAAGCAACCAAGCTTTTGTGGAAGGCCTTCCTCCACCATGGCAGCTCGAAGTTCGCGATCAAAGGCGAGGTTGTGAAAGAGGCACAGAGTAATCCGAGTGAGGTCGGGCTGAGGGATGGCCAGCGCGCCAACCAGTCTCTGCACAATGTTGTTGGCAATCTACAAAGCCAACCGCCAATGAGAAATGTCAGTTCCAAGATCACGCATTAAAAAGGGGGCAGGCTAAAGCAGGAGTCTACCATGTCGTTGATGTTCTCCTGAAACACGCTGAGCTTCTTCAGGAAAGACGTGACTAGAATAAGGAGATCGCAGTTTTGTAGATCCAAGCAGCGACAGAGAAGCGAAACAATGCCCTTGCGACGCATCTTCTCCTCAACCTCGACACTTTCAGCGATGTTCAGCAGGAGGTAGATGGCCACTTCAAGGAGAGGATGCACCAGAGGAATGAGCAAAAATACGATCACGAAACGTTTACAAGAGTTCTTAGAAATGATCGTCTGCAATTACCGCGGAATATTGATCGGTATTTTAATATGCCATATTTTATTGGTCTATTAAAAGACTTGAACGGTGATGTTGATTGGTTGTTAGGATCTATAGAGCTTCACTAACAAGCAAAAGGATCAAACAGCACTGGTGACTAACCTATTAGCGTCTCGATTTTCGTCTGTTTCAGCTAGGTACTTTGCTATAATTGGAACATTTTCATCAGTTTCAATTTGGCAAATCTTGCCGTCGTTAAAACAACAGCCAATCATAAATTGACGGTAGTACAAATTACTCAAGGTTGGCAAAACGCTTTGGGAGAGCTCTTAATTACATGCACACCTCTAAAAAGTTGCTCCTGTTTATTAACAAGAACACGGAAGTTGTCCTCATGCAGCCTGAATTCGGCGGAATCCAATTCGCCCAGTTCAAGCCGCTTTTTGCTCAGTTCCTCCACGCAAACAGCGTGATTGTGCATCTCGTGTTCCAGAATGTCCATACACAATGCTCCTGAAAACGAATCAGATTTAAACAAAGCGATTAAGCAAGAAGACATCGCAGTAGTTTTGCAGGCAAATGATCCTTACTTTGATAGATGTGAGTGAAATGTGTGCTGTCTTGCGTATATTTAGGTATTTTGCTCAACTGAGCTGTGCCAATAATCTTGAAATGTTGGCACAAACAAAATGGACACGTTTAACTACCAAAAAATACGGTAGCTGCGTTTGTCTTTAAGCTAAATTTAGTGTTTTTTTAATCTCATAAAAATGAAACTATTTTTTCCAAAAAAGAAACATTCTTACCAATTTTAAAATGCAGAATCACACTATGGAAGTTCGAAAATGAAGAGAAGCAGAAGAAAATGTAAACCAAATTTGTAGTGAGGTCGATGCTTTTTCTCCAGTCTTCACGCAGTACCCGAGCCAGTGCGCCTACCAAGATTTCTAGAAATTATAAATACAATATACAGGAGCATTTAACGATGAAGACACTGTGAGCCAACTAAACAATTGCCGTCATGCCATGTAAAGATTGATTTGTTACCTCCTTAGAATTAATATATTTAGGCGTTTTATCGTTATATGCTATTCCTACAAGTTAGCTAGTAGGAACAAATGAGTGTGAGAAGGTGTCCTACCGTTGTTAAACAATTCTTCCAAGTTGTCGGGATTTCTGGCTAGCTGCAGAATTAACGCGGACGCGCGTAGTTTCTCTGGCGTATCTTCATAGAGTAGATCAAGGTAATCATCTACGTCAGTCATGTGAGCAGTCTCGTCAATCTGTGCCGAATCGAAAGCTCCGGGATCTGCTAGCTTCTCTTTTGTGGCTGTTGACATGTCTAAAAGATCAGTTTCAGACTTTGGACGTCATAACATCGACCATTTTTGGTCAGCGACGAGTCATGGATTACTACATTTAATTTTACTGCGCACCCATTTGAATTACTTTGATTTTCAATGCACAGGCGTTTGAGAAGGCCAAGACAATTAACTAATCACAACTATTTGAAGCCAAAACCAACTGATGGCTTTGGTTAGCCATTATTCTGCTTGAGGTAATGGGGTTGTTGAAGGTTAAAACTAAGAGCGTGCAGCAATAAAGCGAATTTTATGCAGGAGGTCGTGATAAATGAGGTCGCTTTGCAAAGATGAGGAGAAATATGGAAATTAGTGCATAAACCAAGCATAACTGGAAATAGCAAATTGTACTCAGACAGAGTAAGTATAATCTCAAATATTTCAATTTGTCTCAATCATCTTATCATTATACAAAATTAATTAATCAATTCAACTAGCATTTTACCCGGCGCTGCACTTTTTGAATTCCTTTTAAGAAGATATTTAAGAAGGTGCTCGATTTCTGGTAATTTTGATGGTGAGATAAGATCACATGTGTCAACTATTTTTTTCGCAAGCGCTGATAAATCCGTCTGCTTAGTTAAGTTCTTAAGACGAATTCTAAGAATTTCAAACAATTAAAAGAAAACTTACATTTTCCGGCATTGTTTCTTGTCCCCAATTACGGGATCTCCTAACTCTCCGAGTATTGTGGCCTCCGCTTCGTAGAAAACAACCAGTGCCTTTTCAAACGGGTGAACGTCTACATGTCCACCACGTACGCGTCTACATTGATAAATACTCATTCTAAAACAGTTTACTTGGTCAGCTTGGCCTCAGGATTCATCTAAATAACACTTTTCTATGCAATAACTAAGGCCTTTGGCTATTACAAATAATTAGCCTCTACCTAATTACACACCCGGCTGGTTTACGCCGGTTAGTTACTACGGCCGCTGAGTTTGAAATAAGCACACAAGTAGCGATAATGAAAAGACAAGTGACCTAAAAAATCAGCTCCTTTCGGCGTTAGCATTTAAGGTTATATTCCGTGAATAAAGTGAAGGTTATTTAATTCTCAGTATTTGATTGTTCACTATAATACATCATAAATGAGGTTGTGTGTCCACATCTCAGATGGTATCAAACCCTAAACGAAGAAACTTTCCATCGGCTTAGACTGAGAATATTTTTTTTGTTTTATTTACCGACGTTGGCTTGCTTGCATATACCTCACAGCTTTTAAAAAAGCTAAATTAAATGCTTTCATAGTTATTTTAATACCCTGGTCATTGACATGTCAGTTTCATACAGTTCTCCCCATATTAAAGTAATACATAAAAAGAATTTGCCTATCAAAGCAAGCTCAGGATCATCAAAAATGACCTAAATATAGCATATTCTTGTAAGTTGTATATAAAAATGTCAGCTTTTTGCATTTACCCATTCTTATCCAAGTCGCTATCTCGGTATTATTTACTGGCAATTTGACACGATTTTTTTCCTAAAATGCACCTGCTGTTTGACAAAACTCTTTTGTGTGAAACTGCAAAGGTATTTATATTGACAGGTAAAGGAACCGAACCATCCATTGCACCTTTGTCACGATGCGGCATTCGGTGGAAATGCGTCTGTGGTATTTTACGTTCAATCATTCTTTTTTACTTGTTAAAGAAATCAGACAGAATGAAACATAGTCCATTGCGTAAACTAAACCAGGTTGATATTAATTAACTGGACATTTTTGCATTTCTTATGCTGATTTAGTTTTTTTAAGCAATTTGATTTATATTCAGACTAACATAGGAAATTGTGATACACATGTATTTGTTCATTTTTTGGATCGTGATTTGGATTGTTGGAAGCTCGGAGGTTGTTTAATTCCTTTTACAACTTATTGCAATTTTCGTGCTAATAATAATCCATCCACAATGCTATGTGTGACATATCTCGTTCCGTTGACTTCCAACAGTTGTCATTTTAGGATTCCTGGAAGTTGGTTGGTGATGCCCCGTGAAAAGTCTTGATGGAATTTGCATTTAGTACTCATTCTGTTTACATTAGTCCACATGAAAATGAAATGCTATCCATTTCACTTACTACCTGTCCGGTGCAAAATAATTATTTTTTATATTTTCCATTCCGATAAAATTCTCGAACTAAACACACGATTTCAACAGATGGTTTGATTATCATATTGTCTGACTAAATACAAGTTTATAACATCATTAACTTGTCCAATGTTGTAACCAGGCGTACCGTAGATGCAAAATCCCCCATTCATTCCCATTAACCTATTATAACTTTGTACTAATAACTTATTTTTACCATGATTACTATCTTATCTGTTTGATACATTGCAACCGTAGCTTGAAGATAAAATCTATTAGTCAATGAATATTTCGTCCATCTGCGGATTCAGCATGTTTACACATGTTGGTGGAATCATGGCTTAAGTTTAGTGGAAATGAGAATTATCATGCTGAGCCAGCATCTAATATAGCTTCCACCTTCACACAAGCAAGCATTATAACTTTAAAATTCAGGATTGTTGCAAATCAAGACTTGCAGAATCCTTATCTTAAATTAAATACTAACCGAATTATGTAAGGCGCATCACTCTTTCGTGTCTGCCCATAAAAACGCACATTTCTGTTAACGTTACGTTTTAGAAAAATCTCACAGTATCCAAACAAAAGCTATCAATTTCAACAATATTTATTAATATTGGCACTTGATGGCAGAAATAGGACCTTTCAATAAAACGGTTATTTAATTAAAAAATGTCAGTGCCTAGAATTGGATTCTATATAACTAATCAAGCAACTTCCTGTGTAAGGAGATTATTGATTATAAAGCGAACTTGAAATTAAAACAAGTCGCACGCAAACACAATAATATAGCTAAAAATGAAAGTTAGCAGAAGCACGTGGTGTCAGCTAACGATGGTCTGAAATTATTTGTTATTGTTTTCTCCCTCTGCATCAATTAGTCTTCACATGCAGCCGTAAAATACTCAAGCCGGTGATTGATGACAACAACAACAACAACAGATTTGGCTCAATTGATATGCCACAAGCCAGACATTTTTATCTAGGACTGTCCATCCGAGTAACCTTAATTGATCTGCCTTCCTGACCACTCAAAACTTACAGATAAAAGAATGGATAATTTCCATTTAAACTAAAAGTGGCTGCGTTCAGTCCGCACAATTTAGCGATGTGTTGAATTACTAATTCTATTCTAACGAATGATTTACTAAACACTTCCGCCATGTATGATGTTAACTTTATTTTAACTTTGGTAGTTTAGTGCGTTGAGAAAACAAATTGTTAAGAACTAAGATCTTACCTGCGAAGCCTAGGCAAGGCAGGTTGCAAATCTTTAGTGAGTCGAAAATCAAATATTTTGGTTGATGGAAATTAGGCTGTGTTAGTTTAATTTAGCAAATTGCATGCATTCATTATTTAACCTCCTGGTGTTTTGGTTAGTTTTAACAAATTTTTAAGTGGATAACAATGACCGCAGAGTTTACACCTGACCTCAAATTATTATGCCTTAAATCTGCAATGAATAGTGTTTCAAATTAGATTATGCAAAATTTCTGTGTCTTCAAAGTAACAGGAATATGCTGGGTCAAAATAATTGGGGCCTAGGATCAAAAAACTATCAAAAAGTTTTATTGGGAATTTTAAAAAAATACAAACACTAGCATTTAATGACTACTGAATGAGTTCAAGATCATTGGTTTTATGTAATAGGTTGTAAATTCTTTACTCTTTTCTTTTTAATACTTAACATTCGGCTATGACATTCATGACTCCTAGTATGAAAAAGACAGGTACACCAGAAACATCTTGCAGGTATTTCTTATCTGAGTCGTGTCAAGTGGCTGCGGCGCCCATCATAAAGTGCTTTTAATCTATCCGTGCACGTCTGCCTGATGATCTTCCTCTTTGGCCAATCAAAAGCCCAGGCAGAGCATTCGCTAAATTTGGTGTGACCAAAAATGGCTGCGCCCCACCGGTCGCCACACTGTAGAATACCCGAGCCCTAATAGGTAAAAGACTGGTACAACAAAACAGGCTTTATTGACCAATCAGAAGCCAGAGCCACGCGTCAGGCGCCTTCCATCCGAGTCCACCGCGCT